CAGATCATGAGATCAGGAACTGTCAACTAAAGGTATGTAATAAAGAAATAGCCCCAGAGAAGTTGTCCAGAACAGTTGTGATGTCCCATCCCTGGAAGTGTTTAAGGCCAGGCTGAATGAGTTGCCACATTATTTCTGAAAACTCAAGAAACACATAAGACAATAAAAGAATGCAAACTCAATCTTTACAAAGAAATGTATGTTTTATTCACTTAAAACTGAAGTTCAGACATGTTTGTCTGTACAATGTAAATTCAAATATTTACAATATTCGGCTGATATTGTATGAAGTTTCATTCCTTGTAACATTTATCTATTTAGATCCTTCAGTTCTAAATAGCTTTTTTTGCTTTTTCCTCTGAATTTTACGTAGCTTCTTCTTATCTTTAACAATTGGCTTTGACTCTGGTTTCACAAGCTGTATTTCCACTGGCTTTTCTTCAGCTGGAGTTTCAAAGACTACTTCAGTAGGATCTTCTTCAACAAGGACCTTAGTTCCTTTTTTCTTTACCATCTGTACTTCTTTCACCTGCTGCTTCTCTCTAAACTTAGCTGCCACTGACAATCTTATCAGCCGGCGATGCTAAAAAACCAAGAATTTAAATGTCATCACATTTCAAATAAGCACAATGGAAGAAATCTGTTGTTAAAGCAACTAATTTCTTTAATACTAATTTCTCTGCTTAATGGCCAAGACCCTCAGTGTAACATCATCTTTTCAGTGACATGATTTTGCATTCACTTCATGATCACAAAACTACTCTGTCCTCCAACTGTCACCAGTTTAGGGCACTACAAAGGGTCATGGGGAAAGGCATACTTGATGCTCCTGCACAGACTGACTGCAAGGCTGGTTTTCTAATTAGTTGCTAAATGAAAGAGAAAACAAAGATAGAGCTGCTTACCATATTTGGGGACCGGTAATGAGGATTTTCATAGAGAGTTGGTCCTCCAAAGCTACCTTGGAAGATTTTTATGAGGTTCAGGACAAAACGAGGCCCAATTTCTACTAGAGATGCATCTTCTTCTATTATCTGCAATAAAAAGAAAACTTTCCTAGTTTCTCACAGATCGAATTAAAGCATACAACCTTGCAGGCACCTTGCATATATATGGTAATACACAATTGAACTTAAATTCAAGATAAGGCACCTGATTAGTTGTATTTCCATAAACCCAGTTCTGTACATAGAGCAGTTCTTAGGAATTCAAGCAAGCTTTAGGAGTACTCTGTATTTGTGAATTCCTTTTACAGAGAATAAACTCTAGATCACTTTGGGTCAAAGCAGCAACTTCTGTTAAGGCACAGTTTAGGCCTTGGGTAGTGTGTCCTGCCACCATGATGTCCCTCACAGAATCACAACTTGATGAATGCAAGTTCAGTGAACCAGATCTCTCCAGAGATACAGGTGAAGGTTGTCATTTCAGGACACTGAATCTGTAAACACTAGGAGCTGGCATATCCTGATAACAATAATCATGATTCTTATTTCATTTGGTGGATTTGATATGAAGTTACTCCACTGGCTCCTTTTGAAAAGCTAGAAGAGACCACTCACCTGGTAATTGCGGAACCAGATCCTTTCATCAGCGACGGTGAAGGTGAAAACATGATCAACAAAAGGCTGGCTTTTGGGGTGGTACTGAGGTGTACCAAATATCTGTAATAAAAGGCAGTGTTTCTGAACATCTGCAAGTTAAGAGGTCAAACACAAATGGCTCTTTTTAAATTCCTTTTAATTTACTACTTTCCCAAACCAAGGTTAGATTTCATAACCCAAAACTTAAGAATAAGTGTCTGAGTCATGCTAAAAATATGATCCAAATCCTTTGTGATCTTTCCAAAGTTCAGAAGTGTAAAACTGCTACTTGAAAAAAAAACACTTGTGATTTTTAACTATGTTGCCAAAAAACATCTCCAGTGAAGAAACACTCAAACTACAGACTGACCTGAATAAACAATTCTTTTAGCAGGGCATAGTGTGGCTCCCGGTCAAATATCTACAAAAAATAAAAATTTGTTTTACATACAAGGCTAAATGCAATAGTCATGCAAAAAAAGTAAGAACCTATCCAAATGAAATAAAACCTATACTTACTGGATCAAAAGACAAAAGGGGTCTTGAGCCCCTTAGGCAATTTCCTGTCATCTTCAATTCAGCCAGTGTGTGAACTACAGTGATTAAAAAAAAAAAAGAAGTTACTACTTACAGAAAACATTTCAGACAGAACAGCAAGAATACAAACACAATAATGTCCACTAGCTTACCATTCTGCACCAAGAACTTAGCAGATGGTCCCTGTGGTGTGTTTGAAAGCCTTCAGAGGACAAGCGGTGGGAAGAGAGAAAGAAAAATGTTAACAGCAGGGAGAATACATGCTGGATTTCCACACTACACCCCAACCAGCTATTCCTACATTGAAGTAGTTTCTGTCACTTTTATAGCTGTACTGAGTTCCTTTAAAAAGCTCGTAAACACTTGTTTTCTAAATAATTTTGTAAAATGCTTCTGCAAACAGTCACCAAAAGCTGTTCACACATTGTAAATTTGCACTATCCACAGAAGTGCAATATTAGAACAAATTTACCTAAGCAGCAGTATTTCATGCATCTTCATTATTACAGTAGGAAGCTCCAGTTAGAACTGAAGCATCGGCAGCTATAAACAGAAATGTAACAAAACATAACATTTCCTTACCACATGTAGAGATCCTGTTTCTTTTTGGCTTCAAAAAAGATACACTTATTGCAGTTTTTCATTTCACACACCTATACAAGACACATCAAATTAGCTGCTTACAAACATCCTGAAGACATTTTTGATAACTTTCCACATTTATCTCTAATATTTTCTTCTCTCCAAAATGCAAGTTCAAAAAGGAAAGATCTTGTCTTATGAAATGACATTTACTGACACTCAAATTTTGGTTAGGTTTTAAAAAAAATGTCACATACTTACTACAAGGAGTAATAACCTCACTAAAGCTACAAACCTGATAAGCTCTCCGGATACAAACACAAGAGCAGGAGCTGAGACATTAGGTTCCAGGTTCAGAACTATAAACGTCCTACTATATTTGGGCTGGCTGCATATTTGTGTCCTGTATTGTTCAAGCATAAGCTGTACTACACTTCTCACCTACACAGAAAAGCACATTATGCTGTACTTCTTCTTCAATATGCTGTATTTCTTCATGATGAAAATCTGTATCTAATTAAATGTTTCATTCTGGTTTTATTAGTCAAAAGTCAACTTTTGGCTTTTTGAGGGGTATCAGTAATTTTCACCTATGAAGTTACACTTTGAACTTGGTTGCCCCTTCCCCTTGTATACTGAATTTCCATAGAAAATAAAATAAAATAAAGAAGCACCAAGATAAATCCTGAATTACCTCATTGATTACAAATAACTGGTCTTTACGGTCCATTTTTGTATCTGGAAGACAAAACCAACATTTACAAGGCTGGAAAACCAATTCAATACAAGAGATTATTGTAACAGTCAGTTTTTTTGCAAAAAATTTACTAGTTTATAAATGAAAGGGTAATTATCAAATTGTTTCTGTCAAGTTATGGAATATCTAAACACAGCAACAAAACTAACTGCGCAGGCTCAGGAGTGATGCCATAGGATTCACTTCCCAGAAAATACTAGGATACAAAAAGTGCTGTACTTGCTGGCTCAAAAGGTGTTTGTTTGAGATAAAAGTTTCATCAAAACTCTTCTGTACCACATTTAAAAAAATAAAACAACAGGGTGTTAGGAGCTCTTGGCTCAAAAGCATTCTCAAAATATAAGTTAGGAATGATATTCAACCCCTACCTGCTTTAGAGTGAGGCATCAATGTCCTTAAGTCCTGCATTAGATGTCTTGTTCTGAAATTAATTCCACGAGAGGAGAATATCAGCACTCGCTCCTTGTTTTTCCATTTGCCCTAGAAAAAAAAGACACAACAGTCACATAGGAAGCTGCTAGCCTTAATGTTATTATAATGCAGCAAAATTACCGTTTGGACAGTGAATACCGAAAGACACAGCAAGAACCTTCGTTTTTATCTCTCACGCAGACAGAACCACGCTCTCAGCAAGAGTGGAGACTGCCCTACAAAAAAGGGGGCCCTGCTTTTTACAGGAGGAACCATCCTCATTCCGATCCACAGCGTGCTCCCGGGCACAGCCTTGCACTCCCACTCAACTGCTAAAACTCCACGTGCGTCGCTTATTTTCCTGCAAAATGGGCTCAGGAACAGCTCCAGAGCACAGCCCAGATTCTCCTGTCGAAATTGCGAAACCTTAGTGTTTATAGTCAGTACTTTATGTTTTTCCTACATGCAAACAATTACCGAAACCTTCTCCGCATGATTCCTAAATGGAACAGGCACAGTTTCCACACAGCCTCTGTATGGAAGAGAATTGCCCAACTCTTCCCAATAGCTCTGAGACTGAGGTAACACATCTTACCGACGTCGTCCAGGACAGCGCTTTTCGCGTGTTCTCACGGAAACAACGCACCGCCACTTTTTACTTGTGCCGCTATCATAAAAGACTACGAACAAACCCCTCTGTCACGGCTCAGCCGCGTTCCCTCACACAACCGGAGCGCCGGGCCGAGCGGCGGTACCTGGGACACGGGCGGCGGGATGCTGTATTCCTGCGGCGGGGCGCTGCCATCCCTCGGGCCGCCCTCCGGCGCCGCCTCGCCCGCGCTCGGGGCGCTCCTGGCGCGCTTCGCCTTCCCCCCGGCCAGCGCTCCACGCTTCCTCTTGGCCGCCATCGGTCCGCACGCCATGCCGCGATGGCTCCTCGCCCGCCCCGCCTCCTGCGCTCGCGTTTCCTGCGCCGCCGAGGCCGTGATCTCACTTCCTGCGCTCCCTCCGTTCGCCGTGCCCGCGCCCCGCCTCCTGAAATCCCGCCTCCTGCATTCCCACTTCCTGCGTTCCCGCTTCCTGCATTCCCCTCTCCTGCGCTGCCGCCTCCTGCACTACTCCTGCGGCGCTCCCGGTGCCGGGCCATGCCGTTCTCGGCGCAGCCGCCCGCCAGCGGCGAGCGCTACGCGCTGTCGGCCAGCCTGGACAATGCCCGGCACCTGTCCAGCCTCCTGCGGGCCGTGCACTTCCAGGACCACGCCACCTGCCTGGCCACGGCCAGCGGGCTGCGCGTCACCGTGGAGGATGCCAAGTGCATCCAGGCCAACGCCTTCATCCAGGTACCGGGACACGGGCGAGGGGAGGGCGCGGCTGCTGCAGGCCCTGTGCAGGCCCCGGTCACCGCCGCTGTCAGAGCGCCGGGGGCACAAGGAGTCTCTGGACAGGGTCCAGCGGAGGCCACAAAGATGAGTAAAGGACTGGAGCATCTCTTGTGAGGCAGTCTGCAGGAGCTGGAGAAGAGCAGACTGAGAGTCTCATTAATGCGTATAAATATTTCAAACGTGGGTGCCGAGAAGATGGTGCCAGACTCCTTTTTGTGGTGACCAGTGACAGGAAGGAGGGCAATGGGCGTAAAATAAACCACCGAAGTTTCACCTCAACACGAGGAAGCACTTATTTGCGCTTAGGAGGGTAGAGCACTGGAGCAGAATGCCAGGGAGGTCTTGGAGTTTCCCTCTCTGGAGACAGTCTAACCCAGCCTGGATGTGTTCTGGATGTGCTCCCGTGTCACCTGCTCCAGGTGACACTGCCTTGGCAGAGGGGTTGGACTGGATGATCTCCAGAGGTCCCTCTCAACCCTAACAATTCCATGTGCTCACCTGCGGAGAAGGAGAGACTTTGCTGGGAGCAAGGCAGAGGTACCTGAGTTGGCATGGAGGAAGGGCTGTGGTGAGGCTGCCCTTGTTTATGGGTGTCCATACTGCTGGAATTCCAAACCCTGCAGCACTACATCCCTGAGCACCCGACCGGGTATTGGGTTTGCACCCTCATCTAATGTATTGGTGTCTGCCAAATTCATGGCTCATTTTGGGTATGCTGTGCTTAGCTGCACAGCAAGTGTCCATAGAATTCCTCTTTAAGTGTTTTTATAGCTCATCCCAAAGCTAAAAGGTTGGATTTAAGTCAGCTGTGAAAGAGTACAGATGCACAGACACTAGATTAAAGATGGTTGTGCTGTGCTCAAAGTACCCCAGGATGGGGTTTTCCCTCTGGCTGTCAGGAAAATATGAAATTACTTTTCCAAAGGCAGCTCATGCCACGCTGGTTTATTTCTGAGACACTCCATTCTTGTAGGTGCCACAAAGCAGTGAGTGCCAGCGACAGGATAGCAAGGAGCAGTTTATCCCTATCAGGCTAGTCAAAGGCAGGATTCAGCACATATTTCAGAGTGGTGAAGTCACTGTTCTGATCTGTTCTTATGTCCTTCTAGTGTTTGGAATGCTTATGCATGCACTGAGCATAAAAAATATAATTATTGTTACTGGAGAAGGGTTATACATTGTACAGTTCCATGAATGCTTCTACCTCCAGAAGTAAGCAGCTCTAGTTTTACTGTTTGTAGGTTGTAATTAAACCATAGTAGACACGTATTTAGGATTTCATGTTTATGCCATCTTACCTTGTTTCAAGTGTGGTTTGATTGTGTTTTCCTAGTTTTGAGGATGAAGACCCATTTTTCTATAATCAATGCTGTGTTGCATGTAGAAATCACTTTGCGTTGCACTGCTTTCTGGATGGGAAACCTTGAAGTTTAAACTGTAAAATAATTGCAGAAACTCCCAGCTTTTCATCTCTTTTCTTTAACTTACAGGCAGAAATTTTCCAGGAATTTTCCGTTCAGGAGGAGTCTGTGATGTTCCGGATCAGTCTGTCTGTTCTTCTGGACTGCCTGACCATTTTTGGAACCAGCTCCTTGCCAGGTGTGGTCTATTTCCATGAATCCACAGGAGGATGTGTGGGTGCTGCAGGATGTGTACTCACATGGCGTGGAGTGATACCATGGCAGCTTTCTGGGCAGTTCTGCCCTTGCAGCAGCTCTGCCTTGAGCTCCTCATTCCTCTACAGTTTTGGTTGTGGCTGACCTAAAGATCTAAATCGAGTGCTCTAAAGAGCACTGTCATTTTGGGAGACCAGAGGTTCAGGTGGTGATAACCTGCCACAAGAGGGTGTGACCACAGCACAAGCTCAGCTGCATTAGCTTCAGTTTGCACAAGTAACAAGAGTAGTAAGGAAGGATGATGTGAGCCAGAGAGAGCCACAGGACCATGAGGATTTTCCAATTCCTCTAAACTGTTTGTAGTGTATCTTAATTGTCACAGCTGGTATTTTTGTCTGGTGGGTAAAATGATTTGTATTTGAGTTGTCTCCACGCAAGTAATTTAATTTTACTGCATAACCATTAGCATTTCAGGGGGTGTCTGGGAGGCAGCACTGCTGTTGATCTGTGGCTTGTGTGCGAGAAAAATGTGAGTTTTCTAAAGTAATCAAAAGCCCTAGCTGTGCTTTCTGCAGGATGTATATTTCATTCTCATTTTCAGGAACATCAACGGCCCTTAGATTGTGTTACCGTGGTTATGGGTATCCCCTGATGCTGTTCTTGGAAGAAGGAGGAGTGGTAACAGTGTGCAAAATCAACACTCAAGAACCTGAGGAGTTGTTAGATTTTGATTTCTGCAGTACAAAGGTTGTTAATAAAATTATCCTGCAGTCAGAGGGACTGCGAGAGGCATTTGCTGAACTGGACATGACCAGTGAGGTTCTGCAGATTACCATGTCTCCAGATAAACCCTACTTCAGGTACTAGAAATGGCTTTGAACTCAAATGTTTGTGCTTGGCTGCCTTGGCTGGTGAGGAGTGGAAGTTTTCACAGTGGAGAGAGGGGAATTACTTTAGAATTAATTCCTTCATTTCAGGAAGAATTGTAATGAGTATAGCAAATCACAGTATGTTCTCTAATTAACATAGTAATGAGTATTTTGACAACTTCATAAATGTGACATTGGTGTGGACAGTTTAGCATTTTTGATTAAATAAAGTGAAACAAACAGCAGTGTTTTGTGAAACAATCATGAGATATGTACAATGACTCATTTTGGTGAGTTTTACAGAGCTCTCATCAGGTATTTTGTGATGGTGCTTTTTGTCTTTCAGGTTATCCACTTTTGGAAATGCTGGAAGTGCCCATCTAGATTACCCTAGGGACTCTGATTTGATGGAAGCATTTCACTGTAACCAGACCCAGACAAACAGGTTAGAAAGTGACTGATGCCCTCATGCCTGGTCATGCATTCTTGATGGGAAGTTTAAAAACTGCTTTGGTATTTCTGTAACATTTATTTTATTAGTATGGGGGGGCAAAAAATACTCCCCATCTGATAAAAGACTGCGTCTGTTATCAAAAGCTAAGAGCTGACGATGACGGTTTAATGTTGTTACCAGGGAAAGAGCAAATAAGTGCATTTTTAACTGTTTTTCGTTTATTCTGGGTCTTTATTTGTGACTAATGTTTCAGCTCCTCTTTGCACAATGTATTTTTTTCACATTACTTGAATAATATATGATAATATTTTCTCCTGCAGGTACAAGATTTCTTTGCTTAAACCATCCACAAAGGCACTGGCTTTGTCTTGCAAAGTGTCCATTCGAACAGATGCTCAAGGATTTCTTTCACTGCAGTACATGATTAGGAATGAAGATGGACAGATTTGTTTTGTGGAATACTATTGTTGCCCTGATGAGAACATCACTGAAGCAGAACTGTAGGTGTGTGCTGGCATCTGTAATATATTTTTGGTTATATAAAATATTATATTTTTTACAAAACTAAATGAAAGCTGTAAAGTTTGATAGAGTTAATATTGTCTTTATTTTTTAGCTCTGGAATAAGAAAGTTGAAAACTTTCATTTTCTTCCACTGCAAACATTTCTCAGCCTTGACTCAAACTGAAAAAGCGGAAAGAGGAGTTGATGTCTTATAGACACTGCTTCCAACACAGATGTTAAAGTACTGTTTGTGTAATACATTGATGCTTTTTGCAGCATTCTCCAATAATTTTCTCTGTGCTATGTTTTTTTGTCTTTGGCTTCTAGTAAGCAATTACACAGGGGAAAATCTGAATACTTGTTGTATATTAGCCAGATAACTTTCAGTGACTTAAAACCAAATTTGTCTTCAAAGAGAGCAACATTTTCAAACACATCTCTTAATAGCAGCAGGTGGTTTCTTGCTGGCAAATGCTGACATGTTTTGTCAGTGAAGCCACTAGGCTTCTCCTCATCTTGATTAATTCTTAATATAACTCAATTCCTTGGAATTCCATCTGACACCAATTTGATGTCTGCAAACTGATGTTGAATTGGTAAATTGATATAGAAGCCAGGATTTACTTACTCATTACTCACAACGGTCCTGGCAACATCATTGCTTTGGGTCAGTAGTTTATTACACATCTGCAAGAATGCTGCGGCTGAGCTGTTTCTGTGTGCTCATGTCCCTCTTCCTACTCTGCTGCTCTCTACTGGTGGTGCTAAGAATCGTAAGAGGGAAAAGTCTCATACTGAAAATTTTTTATGAATTTCATTTGCCTTCTCAGTAGCCTCTCAGCAACAGGAGTCGCTGCTGAGCTGCAGCAGGGCAATATCTGCCTGTGCCCCATGGAGTGCTGTATTTAAATCTGCCAAAAACGGGGCTGACCTCGTGCTCACTGTCAGGAGAGTGTGGTTCCTGGGCAGTTTTCTGCAGTGTCCACCTCCAGAGCAGCAGGTGGGCTGTGTTTAGGTACAAGTCCTCTTGTCCTTTCACACCAAGGACCCTGCACAGAACGGGAGGTACCTGGGAGCAGCCAGGCACGGGACTGGATGCAGAGTCTGCAGATCCCACACAGAGACTGAGCCCTGCTGCCTCTCTGCTGTGGGGAGTGAGCAGAGTCAGCAGTCTCCAGGTGGTTTCTACAGCTCTAGACTCTGGTCAAGTTTTGTTGTCTGTCAGATGAGGTCTTGCTTTGTTTTCTATGGAAAACAGTGTGTTCATATGTTACAAAGTTGATTGCGTCACAATTCAGCAGAATCCTTTGGGTTTATTTTAAATGTTTTTGTGGATAATTTTTCACCTCTTGCTTATGCCAGCAAGAGTACACTTTTGGAATACACAGTGTTATCTATTCACTTTTGTTGTTTTTTGTGCAAATCATCCATTTGTCGCAATAAAGTTTGCAATAAAGTTTACAATAAAGTTAACTGTTTGAAATTAATAAACAATTACAAATTTTTGAACTACAAGGCTGACATAGATACCTAATATTCTAAATTACTCTTACTCACTGGGTCTTTTTTCCAAACTAAAATATACCCAAGACAAGTATAAATGAACTTCCTTCTGGCTTACTGTGTCAATTTCTTCAATGAAAAAAAGGTTATGGTCTCATTGGGAGTTATTAATATTATCCCTGACTACTGAGTATCAAGGATGATTTACATAATCCCTGGGTGACAGGATAAAAATGAAGTAGAACACACCACTTTCTTGTTGTGATTTATTTTAGAATATCCAAGTTTCTTGTATTGTGTTCAGGAATTGTGGCTTAACATTTGAATTTTTATGTAATTGCCTACAGATGTATTGTGTTCCTTCTTGAAATAGTATTTTAATGATTTCTTCTGTGGCCTACCAACAGTAATCATAGGAGCAATACCCTTAGATGTTAGAACACCACAAAATACCAGAAAATAACTTGCATTTAGTATTAGATGTTAAAGGCACATATGGTTTGTGCAGGAGTTGATGTCTGTACTCCAAATGGGCTGAGTCCCAGCCTGGGCTCCCAGAGGTAGGGAGGTGCTTGTGCACTTTTGACTTTCATGGATGTGGTTTTAGGGAGACAAGAATGTGGGAAATCTGGGCTGCAACCTTGGTGCTGAAAGGCAGTGAATTGATTTAGGATCCATCTGTGATGAATTCAGTTACATTTCTGCATTCAAGCTCAGTAAAATAAAAAGGGTGAAGAGGATTGTGACTAAAAGGGCACTGCATCTTTTTGACCTGGTCAGTTACATAAATTCTGCAGATATCCACTGCTGCGCTGGATTTCCTGCTACACTTTCCATGGATCCAGAACTCTGGTTACCTTCAGTACCTCTTGTCCCTGCTATTTAACACGATCTTTTCCCTTGCAGACTACAGGAAACCTGCAGCAAAAGAAATGTTCAGCTCACATTTTTTTCTTTTTATAGCGTCACAGAAGAGGCTTGTCATAATTCAGATTTTGCCCATCTGCTTTCTTAAAATGGTGCATGCAAGTACTCAGAATTACTTGTCTTGTGAAGTAAACCAGTTCCTGGGTTGGCAGCTGCCTCCAGTGCCTTCTACCCCATTCCAGCTGTGGTGGAGGATGCCTGGCAGCTCTGATGGGCAGCGCTGGGGGCTGTGGGCATCCCATGTGCAGAGGCCACAAAACTGGCAAGTGATTTCCCCTCCAATTATTTTGATTTGTGATTTTCAGAGCAGGAACTGACCGCAGGTTTTCAAGAAGGCACTTTGATTCTACCAGAAATCTACTGCCAATAGGCCCAGACTCCCCCCAGTCTTTGAAGATTCCATTAGTCAAAATAATGCCTTTGGCTCCAGACAATCTTCATGCAACAAAACACAGCAGTGCTGGTGCTACTGCTATCTCCTGCCTCCCAATGTGTTGAATTTTTGTGTCTCCTTGGCTTTCTACAATGACTGGGATCTGTAAAGCACAAAATTCTCTAGGGGGAATACAAATCTATACCTCTGTTTCAAAGTTAGTGGTGGGAAAGAATCAGTGGTTTGGTTTATATTTAGTTCAGTTGTTTAGTATTTACTTACACATGGATTTACAAGGGAATAGTACTCTTGTATGCTTGACTAGATGAGTCTTTAGTGAGGTTAGTGGAGCAGCTGGAAAAGCTGAGATAAGCCATATGCTGTTTACTGTAGGTGTCTGTTTTTAACCTCGTTTTGTAGCAGCTTGAAGAATCCAGCAGGTGGGTCTTACCAAAATAAATACTTAGAAACTCTGTAGTAGCACTAAGCAATGCTTTTGCTGAACAGTAACATTAAACTGAACAAATACAGAATTATTTTTAAAATGCTGCTATTACAGAATAGTCACTTGATGACTTCTTGTTGAGAGAAAAACTCATTTTTATGTGAGTCTCTCTTTGAGGGGGTCAGGACTGCTTAGGTATAAATGGAAGAGATAAGAGGTGGGTTCTGCCTCTTTCTACCCTGCTTCTACCCTCAGCTGGCTCTAAGGGTAGCAGGGCACTGCATCAGCATTGCTGCAGATAATTGCTAGGGCTCCTCCAGGCAGAGAGTGTTGGAGGGGGATGCAGTCGGATGCCCCACACAGCTCTGATTTCCGTGGAGTAATAGACTCCCACAGAAGTGAGAAGTGGGCTTGAATGTCCACCACGACTGTGAACATCAGTCTGTGTGAGTATTCTGGAGGAATGCATCCAGGGGAGTCTAGGAAGGGCTGCATTGCCCAGGAAAAGCTTTTCTTTTGTAATACCATTGAAAACCTGAGCAGAGAGACAATGGGAATCTCACTCCCACTTTCACCCCCTCTGCATCAGCATTTCAGGTGGGGGGCTATGTCTGTGTGTGGAGTAAAACTCTCATTGGAAAACTGAACAGCCTCATACCCCTTCCTGTTCAGATGGAGTTGACCAAGAAGGAGCAAGCGAGCAGAAAGCTGGAGGTCTGAGATAGGAAATCTACCTGAACATATGTTTGAATTTCACCCCATAAATGCCAGTGGAGTGCAGTAATGGGTTAGAAACGTAAGGGATGGGTGGAACACAACTGCACCTAATTAGGCACTTGCACCCCTAATCACCCAGAAAGAGACTTAATCCATGGAACAGAAAGCAGCTAACAGGCCCTAAGCAATGTCCAGGTGCTGGAAAGATAAATTACTTGTTGGCAGAATTGTTAAGCTTCAGTGATCTCATACCTAGAGGGAGGTTAACAAAGTTAGGGAAGAAGGATAGTAGGTAGACACAAAGAATGCAGAACTTTAAAGCCACAGGGACGTGTGGCAGAACTCCCAAGATAAGGAAGAAACTAATACGGACAACTCAGCAACTGTACTGGCTTCGAGTGGGTAAAAGGAATTCCAGCAGGGAGAAACCATGACAGAGTGACTCATAGCCCACCATGTCAAAAGAAGATGAAGAGTGAGGGCTGCAGACTAATGAGCATAAGAACAGAGAGAATCATTAACTGATAGAAGATAGAATACTGATTAATAAGAGAACAATGTCTTTTGTTCTCTGCCTGCACCAGATGTATCCCTCAACATTAGCAAACATAGCCCACGAACATTAATGGCTATGTTTGCTAATGTTGAGGGATACATCTGGTGCAGGCAGCTGTGTTTGCAAGCTGAATTTGCAGCAGCTCTGGGTGCTGGGTGGGAGCCTGGGGAGAGACAGGAGGCCGTGAACTGCCAGCCCTGTGATTGATGAACAGAGGGCACAAAGCCCGGTGAAACCAGCCAGGGTGAGAGGGGAGACACAGCGGGGGTTGGCAATTGCAGACATTTTGGATAACATAAGAGGTGAACATGGGTGATGCCAGCTAGGTGAATAGACACAGAGAGGGTGGCATGTGCTGATGGGAGAGGAAGAGCTACACTTGCACCTGGGTAGACAGTGAGGGTGTAAAATTCCCTGAGGTTCCTTTTTGGGGGTCCCTCCTCGGACGCATCAGCATGAGCTGTTTCTGTGTAAGTGCAC